GGGTTAGTAACAAGAGAAAGGACGAGTATGAGACGCGCGACCACCCTCCGCGACGGTTCACGACAAAGTGAGGAAGCAAGCACAGACCTGCACGGGATGGTACGACCTTGGTACACGGCGTACACGGCTAAGTCAATAAACTGGGTGACGCAACTCACTAGCGCGTTGGACCAACAAAGAGCACCGATACTCAGTACGCTCTACCGTACTCTCTCGCTCGCACACCTCCCTCCCATAGACCACTGAAATTCCTCGGCACCCGTCAACACCGACGGAGAGCACCGATGCCGCGGCTCGCTCTACCGCTCTCGTTCTCTCCCGTTTGCCCGCTTCGACCAGCTTCGGCATCGTTCGGTACGCGTCGGCAACGACGGAGAGCACCGATACCGTGGCTCTCTCTCCCGCTCTCACTCGCTCCCGTTCGATCGTTCCGGCCATCTCCGGGGGTTCTACGACCCCATTTTTCACACACACGGGGACTCTTATGCATGCTCTGGGGGTGTAGAACTTCCTTATCAATCAACTCAGTCAATAAACTAAACATTAGAGCATAGTCGTTATTCGATCGTATAAAATAAAATTTATGTGACATAAAAGTTCACTAGAAGATGTACGTCTTACGAGTTATTCTATATATCCATCTCTGTTAACTTTGAATAATATAGATTTGCACTCTAAATAAGCTGATGAAACGTTTAATAACATAAGCTCATTCCCACCCTTCATTCCATACGATTGAAATAAAGGTATACAAATCAGAAGACTATATTCACTTACTCTGCAGAGTTTTTAAGATTCAAAACCAGGATGCCGGAAGTTGCAAACTTTTCAAAGAACATTGACAGTAAACAACAGTCGACGTTATGCTGCCGAAACACATAGAACTCAACAAATTTGGAGAATTTCATGTATCTTGACACAATGTCGAAGTCAACACTCAATTAACCAGTAAACCAGTGCGTCCAAAATACTAAATAACCACAGTCTGTTGTTTTATCGTTTATTTTATATCGCAACATAAAATTTGTACAAATAATAATTCGTAATAATATTGTAACTATAATGGACGATAATTGATATATATGTATATATGTCGATCGATATATATATATCAATTTCAGATTTGCACGCGACACGCGTGTGGCCGTCCCACACGCGGGAACAATCACCCGAACCGACAGTCAGTACGGCAGGGACGCGTTCGGCTTGGCGGGAAAAAATTCGCGGTCAAGCGAAATTTCTTTATTCTTTTTTTTCATGTTCGCGAAGACGACACTTTCGCAACATGCGTTGAGTAACGGAACGCCTATCTATATATTTGGTCGGTCGGTTTGCCGTTGAAAGACGGAAGTACGGTGAGGGGGGTGGGAGGCGTTCTTTCGTTTTTCAGAAACGATGTCCTCGTCCGGGGAGAAAAAATCGGGGAAATTCTTGTACTTGTCGATTTGTACAGTTGCGAAAGTCATTCTCTGATAAGTCTAGTATTGCGGGATTGGGGGGGGGGAGGGGGTAATTGCCGTACGGTCTTGACGGAACAAGACCGAATTTGTTAGGTACACATGAAAGAGCATCGCTCCATCGTTTCCTCCAATCGTGGAGACACAGAATCGTGAAAAAATGCTTTTCCAAATGCTTCATGAGTAGAACACGAGATTTTTACGATAAATCGAACCACACACACAGCCCGCCCCTCCCTTTCACGATTAAAAAAAAGAACAAAAACGAAACACGATCGTTTTCTCAGCGAAGAAATGAGATCACAAGTCGAGAAAAAGGAACGAACGCGTATGTACGATCCTGGGGGCTGGCCCTTTTGTCACGTTCTCTCCCCTAACCCACGATGGTCTACGTAATCGAATATAAATCGTGTCAATCGACGACAATGAACGTCATTGGTCACAGCGCACGCCGTGACGGTACAAAAATAAAAACTTCAACGAAGGGGTACGGCTACGTACGCGAGATTTCTTAAACGCGCCGCGTTTCAACGCTACAAAACTAAGAGGGGCGAAGGGGTGGAACGCACGGTAGATGCGTGCGACCGAAGAAATATCCGCACGATCTTTTTTTTTTGTTTTAAAAAAAGCGTAACTATCGTTAGTTCGGGCTTGAAGAACCGCGGACACGCGCGATTTAAAAACGCTAGAGACGAATCTGCGGACGTGGGTTCACGAGGAGTTCCGCTTTCTTTCCTCCTCAGTCTTTCTCCTCTCGTTCGTCACTGAACGAAAGGGGAACGAGTGGGCTCTTCCATTCGGTACTCCTCGGATGCCCGATTCACCGTTTCGTCCCGGCTCCGTTAAGTACTGGTACGTTTTACCGTTATTTACAACAGACGAACACGCTCGAAAGTCCCAGAGGCCAGCTCTCCAGCGTCATCGTGATCCTTATGGATCGTGTCGAAGACTGCAATCACGGCGTGATTAAACATTTCGTAATAACTGTAACACTTTGCTCTCTAACACGTTCCCGTACACCGACGGAACACTGTCGTGGCCTGTATATACTCGATAAAACTAATTTACCGTGTTGTATACCAGCTGTATACACTAAGTACGTCGTCGGGATTTTTCGTCAATAAAAATTGATATTCTCCATTCTTATAAACATCGTACACCGTGTGTATTTATACACCGCATTATAGTATCATCCGCGCGAGAATTACCGTTGCACCGTAATCGCAGTCCAAGATGACCGCCGGTAGAGATCGTCCGACGCCCGGATTGCCTCCCCCCCTCCGCGTCTCGAACGTCGGACTTATTGCTTACGTTTCTAAGCGCGTCTTGCGGGCGCAGTCGAGTTTTATGGTACATACAGAGGTGTGTTCGCCGGATCGAGGACCCGGTGAACCGCGGGATCGGTTCGTCGCACGGATAGGCGACGTCGTCCACGATATAAAAGTACAAAATGCGTAACGCGTCGAAGATCGAGCGCGACTGACCTTCTGGCGGGAAGGGGAAGGCGCATTCGAACTTCGACGTTCCACGTGCGGGGCATGATCGAAGAGATATTTTTCACGGTTCTCGCGAACCAATGCCACGTTTCATCGCTGGTAATTTCGTAAAAGAACAATACTCCGTCAGAATTCTCTTAACCTCAATTCGAAATCCAATTCGTTTGTAACGGTACGACGTTGGACATGAGCGAATAAAAGATTTCAAAAGGGAACCGTGTTTTTTTTACCAAAGACTCTAAAATTCCGGTCTCGATTGGATTATACAAAGTTTCCACGTCCTCGGCGCTCCCGACGACGGACACAGCGTCAATGGCGACCGCGCTGGGAGGCAGCGCGACGACGCTCGCCCAGGGTCAAAGCGGCGGAGGAAATTCTTTGCGATCTAATTGGCCGGACTTGAGCCGTTCTTTTGTGAAGGGACCGATTACCTCACGTTGAACTTTCTTCCGGAACTTTTTCCACCCCTTTGTTCCCCAGAGGACACGCAGATACGGAAGGACTTTAGAAATTCCATGTTGGGAACGGATACCGACGGGCGAGCTGCTCCATTGGTCTTCGTCGATAGGTCTCCATCGATCTGGATACACGGGAATTCGTACCACGAGAACCGTAACAAAAGCATCCCTCTATCTCTAACCCATGCACACGAGTTCCGTTCTCTCTCTCGAAAGTATGGCCTCTTATGGCATCGCGTCAGCCTTTATATGCGAGATTCGTCGATAACTCCCCACTTTGTTAAATCGTCCATTCTTGTCGCGCGGACACACTTACACAACTACTTAAATATAATACAACATCGAACACGATATATTCGGTCGGCGAGAAACGAGTTTACGTCCATTTTTTTTGTCTTTGTCGATCGAACGAGACCGTCCCTCCACACCTCACAATTGCTCGGATAAAATAATCACTCGGAGGGTCTGGATCGCGTCGTTGTCCAACAGTTCGTCGCCCCTTTGGGCGGACTCGTCCTTCACGGGGTTCCTACTCGGCCCGTTTTCGCACCCCTCCGCCTCTGCCCTCTCCTCCCCCGGCACTGGACTACCATCAGCTCGAAGGTCCTTCATTTTTCCGCTTCCCTCGATGTCCCTCATCGTCGACACCGCGGTGGTGGTCGTCGTCGACGCCGTAACCGTGGTGGTAGCGGCGCGGGTCGACGGAAGACTCGATGCTCCCTCGAACTCCGGGAACGGTGCAGCGGCACGAACCGTGAACGGAAAATTGTAACAGGTCTCGGAGAACCTGGTCACACCCTCTATCGCCTCGTCCTGTTCGCTCCTCTTGAGCGAGAACCTGGACAACCTGGCCAACGTTCGGGCCCTAGCTTCGTAACCCTCTTTGAACCTGAGCCCGTCAAGGTTACGCTCGTACGTCTGCAACGTTTCGACCTCGAGATCTTTTCTTCGGGACTCGAGCGAGTCGTACGAACAGGACTTAGCCGGTCTGCCCAAGGTAGCCACGGTGAACGACTCGCAAGTAGGGTCCAGTCTACCTCTCTCCGAGGAGTTGGGTGTGACATTAACAGAGGACGCTTCAGAGAAAACGCTCGCGGCTCCAGGTGCCACGTTCGTCCGTGTCGGTTGTCCAGGTACCTCGGGCACTGGGTCCAGCTGTCCAATGCACTCGAATCTACGGGGTGAGACTATCCCCGAGGAGCTCACACTGGGAAGGAATCGTGGGGAGCGTAAGCCAGCTCTACCGTTTGCTTCTGGCTCGGTGATGCCCAGTAAGCCGGACTTGTCGATCCGTCGAACGGACAACGCCTCCTCCGAATCGTCGTAGGCGGCTCCTCTGGTTCGAGGTTGATTCCGTCGAGCGTACGTGTCACCGGGCAACGGATTCGCGTACGGTAACGAGTTCCCGTATGATTCCCGATAAGAGAATCTGACCGGTGGGTAAGCGGGGACGACGGTCGGACTTTCGGCGATCGTGATCGTCATCACGGTGGTAGCTGCTGGCATCGTGGTGGTCACACTGGACCCCATCGTTGACGTTTGAGGGAGCAACGACGTGTTCCAGGTAGCAATTGGTTGTTGAGGGGGTGGCGGCGGTGGCGGGGGTGGCGGGGGCGGTGATTCCACGGGATTCTCGATCACAATCTCCATACGATGACGGAGGGGATCGTGAGAAGCGTGGTCCACCGGATGATGATGATGATGATGATAACCGGTGGGTGGAGCCTCCTGCTATAGCCAAGTGGTGCGCGTGGTCCCGGCTCGCGAGCCGGTGGGCAGATCTCAAACGATTATCTCGCGTATGATACGACGTCCACGGCTGTTCGGGGTCGAGTAACCGGATTCCAGGCTCTCGTCGTACGACAGGCTAACCTGCTGAGGTGGCTTCGCGTCCTCGTCGTAGGTCTCCTGATACGGTAGACCGGACACGTCGTACGGCGAATCTGTCGGGCAAACAGGGGCTTGTGTAGAGTGGGTTGCATTCGGGGAAAACAAAAGAACGAAGCGGGCGGTGTACGTGCACGGGGTGGCTGAGCAGGATGGACACAGGGTGCGGATAGAGATTGGATCGTGGTGGTGGGTACCTTCGAACGATCGGTGAAACCTCGCTGGCCTCGTGAGCGTGAAATGCTATTCTTTCAATCGGACGAAGAGAAATCACGTGGACATTTTCATTATTTACTGTCGCATTCGAGCTTCAAGATTGGCCCGCAGGATGGAAAATCAAGACGTAATTTTGGAAATATAAAAATTGTCCTGCTGCTCGGTCAATAATGGAAACATCGTGAACGGTATTGATTCTACTGGCCAGGAATGGGAAAATGCATTATGTAGGTAAAGGGTTTTGAATAAGGAATGAAAAACGTGAATGTTTAAACGTGGAAATTTCAATACTTGTAATAAAATAATACTTCTTCTTGAATTTCTCGACATTTGGCCAACAATTATTTAATACAATTAACTGTTTAAAGCTCAGAGTGACACCCTTAGATAATGCTACTTATGCTTAAATAGTGTTACTTATATATTTACCAACCTAAAGACATTAGAATAATTAAAACTTTTAGAGTTCACTGGGGCATTCAATTACCCCTGTATGCGTTCTAGGGATAATTGCTGAAAATACGAACAAAATACGTGAAAAAATACGATGGGTTATACACGGGCTCGATCAATGATCTAATGAATTAAATATAACGAAATAGAATGAACTAAAATGAAACGAATGAAACCGGTTTGTAGTCGTAATTCATCCAACCTAAAATCCCATTATACATAATTCATTTCACGAGGAACGTTTCATTGCATCCGTGAACCTTTAAATACCGTCCATTAATTGGTTTCCGATAAATTCGCGCGTATCTGTAACTTTCGTATGTCATCCAAAATTTATTAATTAACGACCTGTACAAAGATGCATTCGCCTTGAATTATCCTTCGATTCAGAGGGGGACGATTCCAACTTTCGTATGACTGAATTGTCGTCGGGAGAACTCCCGACACATAGAATTGAATGTCCATCGTTGGGTCGATCGTAGTGCAACGGCGGAACGGCTTCGTGGGATGGGTTGGGGGTTAGAGGGGTTGGGAAACGATCGCGGAAACGAGAAAGAAAAAGGGGGGAGCAGGGAGGACACGGCTAAAGAATGCTACTCACCGACGTGTTTTTGAGACTTTACGACGGTGGCGAATGGTTCCGAGCAAAACTGCTGTCGACTTAGATTATGGCTCTCCCGGTAATCCTCCCTCTGTGGGAGGTAATGAGGATGGGTCGGGTAATCCGACTCGGTGGTCGCGTAAGCGGCCAGGTCGTACGGCTGGCCGACTCCGTTCGCGGCCGCGGACTTCATCTGCCAGATGGAGTCTTGCGAGTTCACGGAACCGCCGTTATTCGAGTTCGAATAACTGTTGTCCATGTAACCCATGTTCACGCCTGTTCGACAGAAATCAATTCATCGATTATCATTACATCAGAAAACACACGATCTTACTCAGAGATGGCGTGCAAAATCAAACAGGGATCGCAGAATCACTTAATCCTTAAAAAAAAAAAACATTCAATATCAATTGAAAATGAATTCTATAGATTACTATTTACATTTTTCTAAATAAGTAGAAAAAGAAATTATAAAAGAATGATTTGTTATAGTTATACAACATACATATGTTCTGCAACATATCGATTACAATTTATAATCATTGATTTCTGTATTATTTATATTATTAATTATTTTGGTTTCGATGTTGTTTAAAATACAGTAAAGATTCGATGAGAGTTGCATAAGACGTTTCTCGCGAGAGTTTCTACTTCATCCCCATCACTGGGGAGGAGAGCGCTTTTGTTGTCGAGAATCAGGCTTCAGGAAAATAATAGCTTTGTGAAGTGTCGAGACGATTCGCCGTGCACTGTGAAAGTTTTGAAACGTATCCGAGTTTCAAACTCTCGTGAAGTCTTTACTGTATACAGGTTATGTGCGACGCGTGCAAAGAACTGTTATCTTCTCCACCAATCAGAAACGATCACGACAAAACCACGAATAACTGTAAAAAATCACCGTGATGGGGAACGAACGTGGTCGATACACTCGTGATTCACAAGTAGCAATTTACGTCATCTCTAGAGTCCACGCTCTTTTACTTTTACTCCACGTACGTAGTAGGGACCAACACAGAGACGAAGAAATACGTTATGAATATTCCGTCGATCGGTTATTAACTGATAGCGTGAAATTGTTTCGCGGCTACGGAGATAGTTGGGAGAATCCTTCGGTTCGCCTCCCCCCTCCGGGTAATTGCCATATGAATTATCCAGGCGGTATAACCGCGGGGACGACGAGTCACGCAACTGGGACGTGACCGCATCCCTTTTATCCGGCCGAAGATGGAAAAGAAAACGGCAAATTGCCGTTGCACTTTGCCGGTTGCACTCCGGGAAAACGTATATAATCGTAGGAAGTTAGAGCTCGTTAAGGCAACTTTTTTCACTCGGGCCATTGTGCGCGCGTTTCCATCCTTCGGTCGGAAACTAGGGGGATAACGTCCTGTCGTGTTTCTCTAACCGGCGTAAATATGTCTTTCGACGGCTCTAACGTACACGGATGATCGTACCATTGATATTGTGATTCGGCTGGTGATAACCGTATCCAGGTTGCGAGTACGCAGGGGTCTTCGAGTCCTCCATGGCCAACGCGTGGTCCAAGCTGTGCTCCAGGGCTTTGTTCTCCGCGTAGTAAGGCGGCGGTGCTTGGCTCTGCTGGCCGTTTCCCGCGACCAAGCTCGGTCGTACCCTGACCAAAGAGAGAAAAACCGTCAAAATTTTCCATTCTTTAAGGGCCCTAGGGTGCATTGATCCGACCAGTGTAGAGACTTACGCGTTCGAGTCCATCTCGTAATCCTTGGCCTTGGTGGCGTGCTTTCGGCGACATCGACAAAAGAGCAAGAGAAGCGCGGCGAACAGTAGGAAAACGGCCCCGCTGACGACCAGGGCGATCAACGTGGGCGTCGCCAGAGCACCTGCTTGCGCGATGTACGAGGGACCAACTGGGTGCAACAAGCAGAAGATTGTTTAACATCGAACAACTCTTGGCATCGTTATCGTAGAAGCGAAATTAAGTTGTGCCGGTGATTACGAGAGCAGTCTAACAAGGGAAGGAACGGAAGAGTTCCCCTCCGATTTTGATGAAACTTCGTACGTCTGTTAAACAGTCAAAAATAAGGGATACGTATTTTTTTTTATCGGTTGAGACGCGACTTTAAGGGGTGAAACCACCAAAATCGGAGGGGACACTTCCGTGCCTTTCCTTGCAAGTGAAAAATCTATAAAACAATTAACACGATCATTCAATAATACGAAAGCATTCTTGCAGTATATATAATCGACTACTTGGGCCACTTTCATAATCACCTGCACAGTTTGTCTTGATAGAGCTTCTTCTCCTGATCCAGGCACCACGAAGAAAGGTACCATTTAATACATTACAATTAATTCAATACTCACTCTCAGCTTCGGCGTACTCGCCGCACTTCTGCCGGTCAGCCTTCAAGCACAATCTGATCCTAAGTCTCGGTTCATCCTCCAACGCCTCAGGATCGTCCAGGACATCCTCCTTCTGTGTCGAAGCGCTACCAAGAACCTCGAGCGGCCATTCGTTCAAGATCCTCCATTGAGGCTCCGCCGTCACAGCCGTCGATGTGTCCAGCTTCTCGATCGAAGCGACCAGCGACAAACACGTGGCTCCAACACTGATCGCCAGCATTCCACTTTCAGGATCGTAGCTGACTCGAAGCGGCGACGGGATCTTCGCGACAACGGTGGTCGCTGTGAACTCGTCGGAATAGTCCGACTGATTCTTCGTGTTGTACACCTTCACCTTGAACGTGTAAGTCTGATGTTGCTCGAGGTTGGTCACGTTGCAGGGGTTGGAATGACGGCATTCGTGCTCGAGCCATTCGCCGGCGGGCGGTCTCGGGACAGCGCAATCCGGGGCGACGATCTCATCGCCGTCTGGCACGCGTCTGTAGGACACGTAGTACTTGGTGATCGGTAAACCACCGTCGAAACCGAGCTCCCAGAGCAATGCCACGTGTGTAGGTCCTACGTCCATCGCGGTGATGTTGATTGGCCGTTCTGGAGCGCCTTTCGGTTGCAACTGGATCGTCGAGGTGATGCTACCTTGAGCGTTCGCAGCTCGACAACTGTAATCCCCGTAATCTAGCTCCCCTATGTTCGTTATCCTCAGTACCGAGGTGTACACGTCGTAGTTGTCGCTGCTCGTCGAGATCTCGTAATGGCCGTCGCTGGACGATCCTTGAAGACTGGCCGCGTTCGAACCGAAACTCCATTGGAACTCGGGCTTGGGCCATGCTTGGACCTTGCAGGCGACCTCCGCTGTCTCTCGCAGATTGTACGCCACCTTGCCGTGCTGGTGGAGCGCGATCGGCTCGTGTTCCACCTTCAGCATCATCGTCGACTCGACCTTCTTCACCTCGTTCACGAACACGCACGTGTACTTGCCGCGATCGCTGGCCACGATCTCGTCGGTCTGGGGCCTGGCATGCCCGAGGAAGCTCAACGTCGAATTCACGGTGATCACGTTCCCGTGACCCTCCGATGCGGTGGTCGTCACCTTGTACAGTCTCTCGTCGGCGGTTAACTCTTGATCGTCTTTCAACCAACGCACGCTAGGCCGTGGCTTGCCCTGCGCCACGCAGGAGACTTGGAACGAAGACTCGCCGACTCTGTGAAACGAATATTCTCGTGTTTGGTATACAGGGCTTTCTGTTTAGGAATTACCTGCTTGGAAATAGGGCACGCGGTCTGAGCTAACAGACTTAACATGTTTGTGGGGAAGTTTCTACGCCTTGGAATATTACTGTATATGCAAAATAGTGTAGAGGAAAACAGAAGAATATGTACTCACTTTCTGGTAACATGTGGTTGCAGTTTGGTGAGAATTTTCGGTGGCTGGTGAACGGTCAGGTTAACGGACGCAGCTTCGCCGTTCCCGATCTCATTGGTGGCGTGGCATTTGTAGGTACCCTCGCTACCCAGATGAACAGAGTCGATCTCGTATCTCGGTCCAGTGTTCTCCGAGGGTAACGATATCGTCCCTGATTCGCCCTCCTTCCACCACTTGTACCGCGGTTCGGGATAACCGGCCGGACTGGCCATGCAGGTAAGAATCACCCTGGATCCCTCGACCGCGACGGGCGAGTCAGGCGTGACCCTCGCGGGGCCAGGTTTATGCCTAACCCGTACGGTAAGTTTCGCGGTGGCAGAGTAGTTTTTTCGTTCGCCGCCAGACGGATGTATCGTGTTAACCGCGCGGCAGGTATAATTCCCAGCATGGTCAGCCGTGACGCGACTCAACCGTAGAATCGATCCAAGCTGCCGAAAATCCGGTCTACCGTCCCTCAGCCATTCGATCACCGACGGCGGTGGATTCGCCGTGGCATTACAATGCACAGTGACCGTGTCCTCGACTTCCGCTATCCTCAAAGGATCGCCCTCGATCGAGACAGTAGGCGGATAAAGCACGTCGAGTATCAGGGAACTTTCGCCCCTTTTACCGAGCCCGTTGTCCGCCTGGCAGGTGTACTTGCCGGAGTCCTGTACGGTGACCCGTCTGATAGTGTGCTGGAAAGTGGTCGCCACGAAGCTACCGTCCCGCCACCATCGTACCATTTCGACCACAGGTTTAGAGTCCACTCGACAATCGAGCTTCGCTGTTCCCTTTACCTCCACCTTCAACGGGTTCTCCGGGCCGACGGTGACCCGTGGGAAGTAATTCACGTCCAGGGTCACCGTGGCGTTCAACGTGTCACCGTCACGCATCGCGCGATTCCTAACCACGCAACGAAACGTCGCCCGGTCGTCCTCTTTCTTCGGCTCGACCGACAACGTCCTTCCGGAGTGAAGAATCATGGTCTCGTTGCCACGGTACCATCTCACCTCTGGCTCGGGGCTACCGCCGTTTGTATTGCACTGGAGCTCGAGCTTTTGGCCTTCGGTCGCGGACGCAGAAGTCGGCGAGATCGACGGAGGTCCAGGCGCTCTGAGCACCGTCAACGTGATGAACTTCCGGTGGAGATCGATCCCAGCTCCGTTCGCCTTCACACGGCACTCGTACTTGCCGTTGTCACGCTCGTACGAGACGTTACGAATTTGAAGATCGTAACGACCCTCCTCGAGGTTCATGAACACTTTGTATTGGGGCGACAGCTCGCGATTGTCGACCGCCGCGTTGTCGTGATTGTCGTTCGTGTGCGTCAGCCAGAAACACGTCACGTTCTCCCGGGGCGGGGTGAATCGGCACTGCAGCTGCACCGTGGACCCCTCGTGCGTGTCCATCTGCGTTTCCTCGACACGACCCTGCGCCGACGCTGAAACACACCGAAACGATGGTGCTCGTTAGAAAAAAATCCACCTTCACCACCCACAATTCTCATTTCTCTTTTCTTTTAGACGGGTTTTCTCGCCCAGACTCGATTCCTATCTCCTGCAACCCGTTCACCCGTGTAATAACTCCACGGGTAAGGCTGCGTTCTCCCTGCCTCCTGCTCTCCCCAGACGCTTATACGGAGCTCCGTGGTCTCTACATTTCGTGTGTAAACGTGGCTTAACTCGGGTAATCTCTCCCCCCCCCCTGCCCCTTCATCTCCCGAAAAGATAGGAAATTGTAAAATCGATTATCGACGTTTACGTTATATTCCGTTTGCGCTCCAATTGCCGTTATCTCGGGACGACCTGTACGAGCTGCCGATGAAGTGGACGCGAGATAACAGGCTCGGAGTAATGCATTCGGGTCAACGGTATAACGTGACCGATTGTTAAACATTTCAAATCGAGGGGCGTTTTTTTCAGGGGAATGTGTATACACTATTTAGACGGCTGGGGAGGATTTGTGTATGTGCTCGTGTTTCGATGTCATCGTTGTATGACCAGGTGGGATCTACGCGTGAGTGGACACGGGTTCTTGCGATCGTTTCTAGGAGCAGTATGGCACTCTCCAGTAATTCTCATATTATTCGAGTGTTCGAAACGATCGACGACGACCAGACGACGGATCCCGACGGTGTCTCTTCACGTCATTGGGTCGCATAACGGTAAAGCCACCGGTTTGACTTCTTCGCCGATATCGCGAGAGAACTCTCTTTCTCCTTTGCTTCTCCCTTCCCCATTGGCCCCGCTCTATCCGGCCCCACTCACCATTTACCATCGCTCCAAGGGGATCGTTGTATCCCCTTCCTTTCAACCGTCTTCTCTCCTTTCTTCGTCCTTCTCTTTTCAACCTTCGTATCTCACCTTACGTGCCCGTTCCCCCCTCCCCCCCCATCTCTCTCCACCATACCTATGCACGGGGTCTATATTTACGTCTGCTTGTCTCTCTATAAATCCATCCGCGCGAGCGGCTCCTCTATATCCCTCTTTCTTTGCCTCTTCCCTTCTTAACCCCATCCATCGACCCATCGTAGTTTACGTTTTCCCGTCTTCTCCCCCCTTTACCTTTACCAACGTCTCACCTATCTCGACCCCCCCTCCCCCGGCGCCCCCTGTGTGTTTACTTTTGCGATACTGCCTTTCTTGCTCGCGTGCCATCGATGGGGGCCAGAGCAAACGAAAGGCCTTCACTCGATTTCTTCTGTCCCCCAGAGCCTGCAGGATGTTTTGCTAATATGTACGAGGCGGAATCATGGCGCGATTTAAAGAGAAATCGGTCGTGAACAGTACCCAAACAGAAATCTATCTACTGTTACCGACGTCACCCGTAAACGGCCATGAACCGTCGCCGAAACGTTTTAAGTACATACATACAGACTCCGCTCGATTATCGTCTGGCTTGTTCTACACGATTATTGTCCAGGCATTGTCCCCACCACTGGGGGGTAAGTCGTGGAACCTGTCAAGCGCATACTTTGTTGCCCAGCCTCGGGCTTCGGGCAAAAAAACGAGTTTACGAGGGTCTGAAACCTTTCTCCCTCTATGATTATTGTCCCCGCACGGACCAAAGTTCGGGACAATAATCAGGAGGAGTCTGTACTTCGAAACCAGTCTTTGCCATACTTCTACGTGCAACAGCTATTGAAGAACACGGCACGCACAAGCGACTGACACGTCGTCCGGCTGAGTGAGAGAGAGAGAGAGAGAGAGAGAGCGTTTAACGCGTCTCGTTTCGCGAGGAGACACCTGTGGCAGCACAGGGGGCTACGTCACGACACGACGAGACCTAACGGCCGTCAACCGGTGTGTCTCGTTCGATATTCCCTCGAATGGAGAAGCTGCTGTTTGTAGCGACCCAGAATTCCCTCCGTTCCCTAGGAATTTACGACAACGATCCTGTTTGTCCACGGTTCGCGTTAACAGACAACCCCTGTGTGGCACGCGGCCATTACACGAACACGAGAGCTACGGTTTTCGTCCGAATTCCGAAACACCAATGGATGTCAGAGAGTCCCACGAGAGATAGATCCCTTGGACCGTCGTATTCTAGGATGAAATCTCCCTCGACACGTCCACGATCTCCCTCCACTGGGTATGTATTTCGTGAAAATGCATATAGGTACATACTGTAGAATGATTCATCCGGATGCATGTGTGGATCCAGCGATCCAGTGAAGTTAACAGTTACCGATCCGGCAGGGTCGTAAAATAATGCGATCGTCGCGCGCCTCGTGATTGGATGGTCTCCGAGTTGTGACGCGCGATTGGAGCGGGGTCGACGCGTGGAGGGGCAGAGAGAGTGAACGTGTCGCATTATTTTTCGAATACGTATCTCGATAACTGTTAACTTCGCGCCTAATGTACCGTGACAAGTTTTTTTTTTTTTTTTATACACGGCGCTCCGATAGTTCAATTCCGGGATCGAGCGATACGTATAGTAGAAATTGGAAAAATCGAGCGTCGGGGGTTCTAATAAACTGGTTAATAGGGTACGGGGGACATAAATCGCGGATGTTATTGTCGCGATGAAACCGGGAACGAATAAAAGTTTCCGTTTCGTTTATTAACTGAACGGACACTGCTGGTAAATTTCGCAGCAGCTTGACTCTGTCGAAATATCGGACAGCATAGAACATCCCTCCAGGGATATAACAGGTAAAAGAAGATCTTTAAGGAAGTTCCCTGTCCTGTTTCTCCGGTTTTACCCTCCCGAACGGTCATCCATCTTGGCATCACCCACCGAACTCACCGCGCCAACTTCGAGACACGATCGTAGGGGAGAACCGGTCCCCCGTTTACGCGATACAGCTGTTACTCTACGCTTAGATCCTAAAACGGCAACATGTACACCGCAGAGGGCTAGGTTACCCTAGATCGGATTTACGAGGATGAAATCGCGAGCGAGGTTACCATTGGCCGAGAGAAAGGAGGCCTTCTATGGCCTCGCGACGGCTCAGAAGATAGCGATGGAGGACATAGTATCGATATTCTAAATATCGGTATTTGTGAATTCAAATTTCGATATATTGTATGCATCGATATTAAATGTAATGATATTTTGTATGCATCGATATTTAATGTGACGAGATATTCCAGTATCGATACTTAACCCATAAATATCGACACTTATTTTTATCGATACAATCGCTGCTTTTGCCGTAAAAATTCGTAAGAAAAATGAATCAATCGCAACATTCCCATAAAGTTTTGCGGTCGGTCGATTTCTTTTCCACACTGTCACCTGAGTAAATACACTTCAGTAAATATCTACTTAAATAAATTAATTATCTTCGTTTGTGGATTTCATTACTCCTAATTTGATTGCACGTATCGATACAATTCAAATCTAACGCAATCACTGCCAGAAGACAAGTTCGTTCAAAAGAACGAAGTAGCGCTCGAGTTACCTCTTAACTCTGCGGACACCCTACTGACAAGTTGTTCAAATCACGAGAAACGTATTTCGCTAAACACGAAAGCATCGGGAGCGATCCGTGTGTGACTCTGAGAAGTAACTCGAATATATCTCTTGAATCCCAAGTACGAAACGATCCTCCAGGGGAGGGGGGCAGGATACTCACCGGAACGCAGGATCAGGAACAAAACTGCGATAATGGGCATCCTCGCCGGGCCTGTTAGCCGGATCCTATCCATTTTATCGGCGAAACGATTTTTCCACGAGTGGCCCCCCGAAGCGGAACGGGACAGAAGAGTCGCGCGCGTGTGAACACACGCTCCGTTCAAGCGCGTTGGGACACACACACACACAGTGTTATTTCCGTGACTTTCACCGAGTGCGCGCGGTTGTTCGCCAGGCGAAATCGATCGTCGATCCTACACGTCGAGATCACGATTCCTGCGTACTCGCTACTATTATTTCCGTAGCTACCACTGTGCCCATCTTTCGATGTTCGATCGCTCCAAAAACACACTGTCACCAGATGATTCTTTCCCTCGACCGTCGTCGAACTTGCGAACAGCAGTCGAAATAACCTTCATGGGTTTATTTAGATTTTCTAGACGACGGGCTCTAAGATCACCGCGATTTCCTGGTACCACGACAGGCGACGCCAGTCGCTTCGCGATCCTCTCGATGGAACGGACTGTATCCCATATCTCACGGTCCCAAGACGGTGATACGGTGTTTCTCAACGGCTTACCAGGGGCTCCCAGAGCACCGTGTCGCTCGCACGCTGATTCCCATCGGCCGCCGTGAGCGCATCCGTTTACGTGCGCGCGGGGGGCGGGGAAAAAGCACCTGAGATACCAGACGGTGGAATTGGAAAAGGAACAACGTTTGCGCGCGATTTCGAAACGCCACGTTGCAACCGTCCACACACATACAGACTGAGAGACACAACAAACACACAGCTGGGGCACTCCTTTGTTCCGCCGGTGTGGCAGTTGTTGCGCGCGTAACACGCGCCTCTGTTCCGCAGCACACCTTTCCAGGCACGGTAATACGGTCCCCGTGGACACGCTCGAGAACCGCCCACGCTGTCCTTTAAATGCACAGACACGGACACGGTGTTCGATCCTGAATACCACGAAAACTATTTATCGTCGTGAACCATACAAGATATACACAAACCACTTTGAAGAGAATGTAATATCGAAGAAATTGTTTTTCTTGTGTTATGTAAATGGAGTTCGGTTGTATTTCGGCTCGTAGAAACACTTCGAAGGATGTAACGCGGATCGAGTAGTAAGAGAGGGAAAAAAAAAGCGATTTCAAATGTTCCATACGCCAACAGAAATGCACTCCACGAGGGTCGCGCGACGACTGAGCTTGGGGTCGCGTAGCATCGTTCCTACCCCCCACCGGTCGGCTTTCCCCCCTTGGTTCCCTGATGGTTTCCCACTCCGCTCCTCGAGCGTTGTAGCGCAGCGTATAGCTTTATACAGGGTGTTGAAAATCGTATGGTGAGGGTATTTAATAACGACTCGGATCGACTGAGGTGGATTAGTAAGTGTATGTACACATTTCCTGCACGGGTCGCCGGGAAGAATTCCGATAAGATAAGTTGCACCGTGTACACGAGGAGCAGATGCATATATGCGATGGTACATATTACCGAATGGAGAAACCACGCATCTGTCCAGGTGATATGTTCCGCCTAATTGAGGAATCGACGTCTCTGTCTCTGATTCAACAGCGTTTTTTATCCTGTCGAAAATCCGAAAGTAAGTGGCCCTGAATATCGGATTGTTCACTCGATGGTTGCTCGAATACTTTATACACTAAACCTACTGGATCCTTCGAAAAGGCAGGAATTAGAAAATTGAAACTCAAAGGCCAGAATTACAACAGGAAAACCGGTCGTTCGACCGGTAGGTTTAATGTTAAAGAATTATGTGCTTACTTTTTATATCTTTCGGACGAAACGTTCGCGGTCAAAACATGTTTGCAGTCAGAATACACCGAGTGTTTCGTTAGCATTCGTGGATCTCGAGCCTCTGTTTCTTTTTCACGACACCCTGTATATGCACGGTCGTCGTGATGCACGGTCGTCGGACCGGAGCCGTGAGGTATACGAGACGGTGCGATGGCGGTGATGGTAGCGAAGGTGGCGGAGAGCCTGAACGGAAGACGAGCGTAAAACACGTTCCTCGGACGAGAGAAAGAGACAGCGAGAGAGATGAAGATCGGGGGAAACGGTAGGATATGATGAAGATGGGACCCGGTGGAAGAGGGTAAAAGCGGTCGAAGGGGAAGGGACGGTGGTTGGAAGAGAGGTAGGACGGAACGCGAGAGAACAGCTTGCCCCCACCGACCTCTCCTCTGCGGCAGGTGGTTCTTGCCGCCCCGGGCTAGGCCCATGGGACTGTCGAAACCTTCGTGCAACCGTCTGTCGCGTTGTTCTGTCGAGGCTCTTTTTTTTTTTTACATCGTCGAACCTACCCCCGCCCCTATAGTGAAATTTTTCCGATCAACCCTCGAGAGAAAGCATCGAACTATCTGTTGCACGAGGGTTCGAGAGTTCGGCGTGCAACGATCTCGATCAATATACGGGCCTGGAAATGTAATAGAAACAAAGGGGTAGATTCGAAGACACGACCGGTGGTTCGACGGTCGAAGGACACCTAGGCGTGCAGCAGGTGTCCATTCCTCGAGGATCGCGCCTTTCCGTTCGCCCCCATCCGCTGTTTTTCTACCTGCTTCGAAGGATTCGACCATCTGCTCTTCACCACCGGGAGAATTCTCTATTTTCCTAGGAATAAATATATATATATACGTCTTATGAACAAACTCTGCAAGATAGAAGGAGACACTAGAAAGGGAGAGAGAGAAGAGAGAGGAAGGAGTGTGTACACGAAATGAAATCGAAGCCGGGTTCTCGAGGACAAGAGAAGACCCCGTCGTTGGAAGGCGAACGAACGCAGCCAAGAGGAAACGGTTCTCCCGATCGGGTATTTTAAAAATCGAACCGGCCAGGCGATTGGGCAGCCGGTGGCCAGGAGGTCCGCCGTGGAACGCGTCGAAAATGCGCTTAATTAAACGGTAACGATTCCTCATCCCCCTTTCTCCCCCGTTCTCGTGGCCCCGTTAACGAACCTTCCATCCCGCACGCTTGGTCTCCGTGGAAAACGGTCAGCTGGATAAGCCCGGATAAAATCGTCGAAATAATTGCGGTCACGATAATTGCGCCTCGATTTGGAAACTGCTACTAACCCCTTCTGGCTCGAGCAACCTGGACCCCTTATAACTTCCGGCCCGTCGATTAAAAAGATCGTCGATTGAACGTCCCGCTGTAAACGTCTTCGAATGATTTCGATCATCGTTACCACTCGACATTCGTTTCTATCGTCGTGATCGTAAAACGAACGACGATGGTGTACAATCTGGTACGGTACGCGTTCGAGTAGGTACGTACATACGTATATACACTCTTCGGAGCAGATCTTTGGACGGGATCGGGTACAACATACCCCTGGACGCCACGCGAGGGACAAGGTTAAAACCTGGGAAGAAAAAAGCCTGATCCGCGTACAGGGCAGCATCCCGTAGACCGCCAGTCACGCGAGCCATTAAAGATTCAAAGGCCCGGAGGGCGAGCAGATGGTCCCCGAACGGAGAGAAACGCCAGGAGGATGAGGAGGAGGAGGATCGAGGGTGATTCGGAGAGAGGTGTATATACGTATGGAACAGGCCGTGCTCGGACCCAGAACACGACGGCCTGCCAGGGAATTACATAGATAGGTATACCTTATATATATATATCTATATATATATAGGGAACCGGCAACACCGCCGTAACCGCCGCGGTTACGTCTCTCTCCTATGGTCGTACCGGTGACCGAGAGGTGCCCCTTCTCTCTCTCTCTCCTCTCTCGAATCTCCGCCAGGTTCTTTTCTACGCTCGAATACGGACTACACACTCTCCGATCCTTCACCCCCCACCCCTCCTTCCAGCGACCCCTCACCTGTGCCCCCCTCTCCACGACTGCACACCTTCTCTCCCGTTCGCCCGCGCTTTACCTGCCTTCTCTCCTTCCTACCTGGCCTGCTTGCCCGTTTGCCTGCCTGTTTTCCTGCCTTGGAACCTTCTAAACATCCGACAACGTTGCCTCACGAGCAACGCCGTCAGGCCACCTGGGAAATACCTGGCAACGTCGCTCGGATCAGGCCCCGGATAGAGTCCCCGGGGCCGCGATAGCATACCGCCGCCACCTCAAGACCCAGCGAATGGCCCCTTCGCTGGTTCGACTTTCTTACCGTTACTGGTCTGGCCCGTCTAGGCAGCACGTGCGTTATCGGCGCCAGGCCTTTGTCCCGTCTGCCAACTACTCTCTTGTCACCTCCCCTCTACCTATCTACGATATAAGCCCGCGGGGTGACCAGCAGTGGCCCATGGTAGACGAGCAAATATTGAGTCGTTCGCGCGAGCCTCGTGATTAGTTCGTGACTCCCCACGGTGGTTTGACGGGGCACGGATAAGGAATGTATATATTGATATATCGGATGATTGCGTGTATATGTATATAATATGTATATGCCAAGGAAGTTTAATCGTCGACACGCAGCGTTATTCTGTTGGTTCCACAGCGTGCTGCAACCGGGGTACTTGCTGGTCGGGATGTTTCAAGAGGCTCTCGAGATGCAAGCCGCCGCACTCCCACCCTCACCCCGTTCGTGGAATCCTCGAGACCGAGTATAAAGATGCCGAACCGCTCGAATCGAGTGTTGTTTATTTGTTCGTCGACTGGGGCTTTTTCAGCTGCCGGTGATACGCGGTGTAAAACGGCCCAACAGACGATAATACGATTTATCGTGGTAACTAATTGTACATAGAACGTAAGTTGCCTTTGACCGATTGAAAGACAGTTGCTATGTCTCTGTGGCGTGGTCGTACAATTTACGAAATAACGAATAACACAATTTATGAACTGCCACAAGCAATGACTTTACACTGACATGTACGCGTGTACATCGAACCCGTTTGAGGGGTTAATACAGTACACACGATCTAGCATAAAAAAGCGTGAACGTTGGGTATTACACCGCGACACAAGGTGGACGATATAGCCAATTAGGACCCGTGTAAGGAAACGGTTTAACCGGAGAGCAATACCCACAATATCTCAAAGACAACAGATCGTACTCAGCCTGGTCCAAACCCTCTCCCCTCACTAAACCTCGTCATTACATCCCGAACGCTGGTTCAGCGCTCAATGGCCAGCGTTCGAAATGTATTGACCCGTCCGAATCGATATGCATTGGTATTTGATATTAACGCCGCGAGGCGTTCGATGTAATAGACTCGGAGGATGGTAATCCTTCAAGTATCCAGAAGGCTAAGCCCTGTTACCAGGACAAAC